TTTGTATTTCAGCTCTTCTTTCCACCTTTCAACAGCTGGGGTAAAGCTATAGGTCAGATTCAAATGACGTGGTATTACTGTTCCAGTTTGCAAAGTATTGTTAGAATGGTGCCCCTTTTATCCATGCCATTCTCTCCATTTCCACAGACTAGAAGATTCTTAACTCTGATATAAGAAAGAAGAAAAAATAATGTAGAGAACTGAATCAACCTTCATATCAAAAACATCTGACATATGTGATATATGTGTGTCAGATGTCAAGAAACTAATGGACAAAAGTATTGCTTATGGCTGCCAAGCCTGCTGATCCCTATGTATAGCTGTGATCTAAATGATCTAAATTGTTCATGATTCAGTTGGATCAGCAGTGAATGATTCTGTGTTTCTTCGTGGCTTAATTCCAAATCAAATCCATGATTTTTTGAAATGGATAATTTGTCTTTTAAAAAATATTTATCTATTATATAAAGTTTACATGTTTATATAAAAAAATTATTTATATATTTAAATGTGATGTATACTAAAATGTTATATTTATAAGCCAAATCCTTCATTTCAAAAATCCACACATTTCATATATAATACTATATATGTATGTGTGTGTATATGTTCATTCCAACTTATTTTGTATTTGAGCAATCACTGGGGATTCTTCCTCTTCTTGGAAGTGTTTGGGTTGGCCAACTCAATGCATCAGTTTTTGGGGGAGAGTCTTTTGCCTTCTTATTTGAGCAGAATCGCTTAGTCTCTTCTGGAAATGTTGACTTTAATCTTTTACTTATTTCTTAGGCCAGTGAAGTTTGTATTTAATGTGGAAAAACTGTTACATAAAAGTAATTGACACCAGTATTTGAAAAACAGCAACGAAAATGGAGTAACATATATAAAGAAAATGAATTTTACAATGTAGATGAAAATTTAACCCCAGTCCAGCAAACAAATATGGGAAAAACAATATGCATTTGAGTTGCCAAAGAAAGTGTGATGACTGCTCTTTTTGTTAGCCAACTTGAGAAAAATAAGAGTAATCGAGTACTATCAAGCAGAATAAAACCCCTCCAACACTGTTACAACTATCGCTTCAATATTTTAGGGTAATGTAATTATTGTTTACTTTATTTCTGTTATCACACATTAGGCTGTAATGGACCAATAAGTGCTATCCTTTTTCAGGACAGGTACAAATTTCAGAACAGTATTTTCAATTACTACTTAAAGTGGAGAACTAATCACGGAATTGAAGTTGTGTTGATGGAAATCATCACCAAACCACTCATTGACTTTACTGTGTATGACTCATAGTAATAAGTCTTCAAGGCAGGAACTGCATTCTAGATGTGACTTGTGTAAGTAGATCATATCAGTTACTGATTTGAGATTAATTAGTGCTTGCATTTTTTTCTGTGCAAGTGAAGTATGTAGATAACACAAATAAAATATCAGCTAATGTAGGTTCAAAAGTCATGCATTTATTGCATTAGATGAATATTCTCCTTGCATTCTATTTTTTTTGCTTCGTACAACCTCTGTCTCACTCAGTGCATTGGATGGACTGAATGGATTCTCCCTTGGCGAACAATCTTGATAAGTTGCTTTTACCTTGTTCAGCGTGCAAGATTATATCTTGATCTTTGCACTCTGTTTAAATTCTTTCTAGAGCCAGAATTATTTTCCTGTGAGCTTTTTCATGGCACTCACTGCTAGAGTATCTGAGTGTATCACAAACATTAATGAATTTGTTTTCACAACAGTGACTTCTGTAGACTTCAGTCACTATTGCAAATGTTCAGCACTTCCGTAAATCACACCCTGGAGTCTCCAGGCAGGCAACCAGAAAATAAGTGCATGCAATTGCTGACTATCTGTGAAAGCCCACTATATATAGGTTTTCTCAGAAGGGATTCATAGATGCTTGCTGACAGCAGACTGTTGATAAGACTGGGAATTCTTTGGTTGCATTCCAGGTTTTCTTGTGTTTAGCATACTTCACTTACTCCTATACGATCCCATGACTTATCCCATTTTCTCCTTTCCTTGTTCTAGGCTCTGTTCCTTTGCATACTGAAACTGTGTTTTCACTTCTTGTGCTTGTTAGGTAGCCTTTCTTTTCCCTGTACCGTTGTATGAATCACTCTTTTTCTTCCTTCTTTGCTACTATTTTTCTCCACTTCTCATGAGATTGCTGTCTCATGCTATCCTATTCTTTATCCAGATTCATTCCATCCTTTCTGTTACATTGTCCTATTTCACCACCAACCTGCCCCCTTCAGCCTCAACAGTTTAATTTTTTCCCCTTAGCCTGTCTTCATTTTCTTAATAAGCAAATCCAGACTCCTAGTTTCCAAGTCATCTACATTTTCTCCTACCCCACTCTCCTATCTCACCACTATTAGAGATAATTTCCCTTAATTCTTGTCCAGTGTTATTTCATTCTCATTGTTTCTTTCATGACATCCCAGTTTATTCCTTAGTGACATTCTGAATGACTTTCACAAGCATCTTTTCCTTGACTTTGACACCATCACCATTTATATTCAGACTCCCACTACAGGTTTCTTTCTTTATTAATTTTTCGTACCTATCTAAGAGTGTAATTCATAATGTGATTTTCTGTCTTTCCTCTGTTCTCCTATAGCTCTCTGGGTGTTTATTGTCCCCTCTTTAGCATTCTTATTATCATTCCAAAAATCTTGAAAACTGCTAGAGGAATGAGCTGCTTGTTCTCTGCTCTGCTTTCTGGGCCCAATCTGCCTGCAAGTCTACTTAGAGCTGTAGCTTCACAGAGAATTTCAATCTGTGCAGTAAGTAGTGAATTCAGGCAGGAGGAGACCTTGTGAATTTGGACACTTCTGTATGCATTTGAACTCTTGATGTCAGAGGTCCATAGAAGTTGCTGCAGAATATCTTTAGAAATGAGATCTAGGAGGACTGTAAAAAACTGGTGGAACAAGATAAGGAACATTATCCCACCTATGAAACTAATTTAACTGCTTTTCTTTTCAAAAAGATAAATCAAATAGATACTGAGTAGTGGGGGGGGAGGGGGGAGAAACAAAAACAAAAAACAAAACAACCACTCAGGTGGTAATAACAAAATTGCGCAGAATTTATAATTACCACATCAGAATGTACTTGTTTGACTGAAAATAGTGACAATTGTCTACAGATATTCCCCTCCTTAAAAAACAAACAAAAACAACAACAACAACAACAACAAAACCAAAACAAAGAACACAGCAGACAGAAATTGAAAAGCAAAGAAAAACAAAAATAGTCAAATGTAGAAGACATATTTTGAAATCAGTTAATTGTTAGATTCATACTGCTGTGTCACTGCACCGTGACACAACTTGTGATATTTATGCATCTACCTATAGTTCTAGGTATAGTTCTATTCTGCATGCAACAGAAGATTGCATTTCAGGGTCCACTCAAAAATGGAAACCTTTCCTTTTCTCTCAGTAACTCAATAGAGAATGGAATAAGAAAGCCTGAAAAGTTATGTTTTCCCTTTTCTGTTGAATAGTCATTGCAATTTCATTTTGGATGCTGGGAGAGTTGAATTCTTTTATGTCTGTGTTCATCACAGAGAAATGTTTAGAAAAATAAGTTTAATTTGGATGTATTGTTACAGAGTATAGCGAAAAGTGGGAACTTAAAACTGGAACCAGCTTCAAGAGGTAATCCTCTTGCTCCAAGTTATTTTATGTATATCGTTGCTGGCAGGATATCTGTCATGTCTGTTATAATTACAGACTTCCTACATTCTGCCAGGCAATTTGTCACAGTCTGTTTCTCTTTTCACTATTTGGAAGTTTCCATTATGTTTAATATGCATTGTTCTTGATGCAAGTTGGATTCATTAATGAACATGGAAAGCAGTCTATTTCCATCCTCTTTGTAGAAGCCTTTATGTACCTGCGTGTTATCATCATCCTGCATCTCCTCTAGCTTATCTATAGCTTGTTCTCAATGCTGCTACACATTATTTTCCTAATCACTGACATCTCAGATGAGAGAATTTTATCTTAGCTTCTTAAGTAACATTTGCTGGAGCTTATCTGAAATTCTGAACAGGTTGATACTATATCCAGGCAAGCAGATGGATAGGTTTAAAAGCCTGAAAAAAAATCTCCTTGTTTACCTGGAATGAAATATCTCTACTAAAATTCTTTCAGATCTCTGTGGATTATTTTTGTATCCAGCTTGTTGTTACTAACGGACTTTTTAACACTGTATCTTTTCAGTTTTTTTTAATGTGTATTGTTGGTTTTTGTGTGACTTTTTAACAGTCTGAATACAAGATGGGTAAAGTGCTCCAGCTTTTATAACTGCATAATAAGTGTAATACATTTTAGAAATACCTGGGAAGTAAGTTACATTAGAAACTTTTTACTTAAAACACTTTGACATCTTTATCTGAAACAAAACCAAAAAAAGATAACAAACAAGAAGTGCCACCAAAACAACAACAACAAAAAAAGCTTACAACCAAACAATAACAACAAAACCAATCAATTGTTGAAATCAATTGTTAAGAAAATGTCTGCTTAGATGCATGAAATTTATACAAAGTTGTTATGGTTTGGCAAACACAACACAGTGAATGTGAGCTTTTTATCTGCTTTACTTTTTTTTGAGCAATGTAAGAACATAGTCATATTTTAATATGTGGTTTTGCTAACCAAGCATAATAATCTATTCAGTCACTTTACCTTGTTGCATTTGGTTTCAGTGCTCTCCAACCTGTTTTCTGGAAGCTGAATGAAACATTTTGTCATCCTATTTGCTTATTTCTTCCTCATCTCTATTGTCTCGGGTTCCTCATCTTGGTTTTCTTCAGTTGGCAGCCGTGGTTTTAATGAAGTTCTTAGGTATGCTGTAGGCTGATGTGCCCTTTCTCAAGTTCTTGGCTTTGTTTCTCAGTCAAGCCAGTACATTGACTTTCTTCCTGCTTTTGATATGAACTGCACTCTTTTAGGGGATGCTTCATTACAGCCTTGTTTTTGTGGTTTTTTTTTTTTTTTTTTTTTTTTTTTTGTTGTTGTTTGTTTTCCTTTGATTGTTAAGCTTTATCACTTTTCCTTGCAGCTGCTGAATCAATCGGGCATTTTGTAAACAGTGACTCAGAGCTCTCAGCTGCTTCATGTTATGTCCACTATTCTTTTTGACACTGTTTCCAAGACCTTTCTTGGTTGCAGGCTTGGGTTCTTGGTCACTGGCTTCCAGATGTATTTTTCCTTCACAGCAAAGGAAGGTGAGCAGAAGGAAGAAGAGATATGCTCAGTTGAAGCTGAAACATGAAGTGCAGTAGTCAATACAAACAAGAAACTGCACAGAAAAGAAACATTAGCTGGTATTTTCAGGAAAGAAGGGTAGAAGCAAGCTTGGAGACGAATGAGAAAATAATTAAATTTGTACGCATAGCTCATGAGAGCCAGTTTGAACTCATTCTCTGTTGGCATGGAAGTTTTAGTGAGATCTGTTGGTAAGGTAGACATGTCATGTTCTTCTACAGAGTTATATACACAGAGGATCACAATATATCTGTTAACAGTTCAAAAAGCTTATTCTATTAATCTAATTATACTATTTTGTGAATTTTTTAAAACCTATGCTATGTGAATGATGTAAAGTTGCATAGATTCTTTGTTTTCTTTATTTGATGCAAATTACATGAAAAAAACAGTGGAATAGAAAGAAAAATGGTCTGGAAGATTTAGCTTTACAGATACAGCCATTGCTGAATGTGCAGCAAGTTGCACGAACTTAAACTTTCATGCTTTTTTCCTTCTGGCTCCCTTACTTGAAGTAGGTGATATTTGACTTGGATAAGTTCTGACTGGTCATAGTGTTAACCATATTACTAGAAATGTGCTACATAAAGATACATAATGTGTTCTAAGATACAGTTTTCCAATTAGCCAACTACAATTAATTGACTCAATTACTATTTTATGTTTAATTGCTGCCCTTCAGTTCCTTGTGGGTAATATAGACCACCTTGTTTTACAGGAGAGCGGTGAAGATAGATTAATTATGTTTGTTTGAAAGAAGAGCGCACTATGATAATACAATAAGAGAACCATAGAAAGCCCATGAGGAAAGTACTAATCTTGTATTCAGTGCAGAGTTTGGATAATGTCCAGTAAATACACTGTGGGATTAAATTCTGAGTAGTGAATGTGAAAAGAAATGATGAGTAACTACCAATTGAGTACTACCTATACCCAGCTTTGAACAAAACAAATGTCTTGGTGGAAAATAATATTTGAATGTAAATGAAGAATATGCTATGTGCATATAAAGGACATCAGGGTGATAAAGTTTATACAGGCTTTGGCCAAGATTTTGAATCTGTTGCCTCTGTATTCCCCAGATGTTTTTGTTGAGGAAATGTAAAATGTATAATACATAGGACAGGATTCCTAGCTTTAATTTGGTCTGTTGATTTAAACCCCGTATTAGGAATTTTATGAAAGAAAAATGAGCATTAGAATAATAGCAAGGAAAAATCTGAAAGATCTGATGAAGTGAAAAAGACTGCTATGTAGTAAATGAAATACAGCATTATATCAGATAAACGCAGTAACTAAGCTAAGGAATAATTAAGAATCCCTGGTGGATTTCCAAGCCTAAATTTAGTGTAAGTCATAAGATTATATAGATAAAGGCTTTATCAGTGGAGACAAAGAATGTGGCATATCAAGAGGGATCAGAGAGACTTGTCCATAAACACGGGAGAAAGGTAGTATTTCATTTCATCATGATTACTGTCTCTTCATATCAGCTGGTTAGCTGTCAAGTGTTAGTGTGTTAGTGCAAGTCACTTGAGGCTAAAATTTTAGACACTGTAAATGACTTTTCATTGAATAAGCTAACCAGGGAATCAATTGAGGGGCACTCTATTGGTAAAGTGTTATTACTGAGGTATGTTATAGAGCAACATTCATGAATTCAACATCCTTTAAGAAACAACAAAAATCAGAAAAATCAATATGGAAATTGTGGAAAATTTAGTTGTTCTTTTTTTTTTTTTTTTTTTTTTTAATGAAAAGAGAAAGATGAAAAACAACATTTTCGCAGGTGATATAGGTGTTTTTTTTTAAAAACCAGGGTATTGGAGGCTAAAAGCAAATGCAGTAGAGCATTTCAGGAAGACCAGATTAAAGAAACATTGTTAAGCACCAAGATTAGAGAGATTATTATGTATACATACTTTCTTCAAAAAGTTGAATTCCTTTTCAAGTAAGAAAAAATTATCGACTAGCGTAAATACAAAAATGTATTAAGACAGAGAAAACAAGGTTGAGGAAGAATTTCCATAGGCTTCAACTTACCAGCTATAAGATGCCTGTTAAATAGTTTGTGGACGATAAAAGTATAAGAACGTGAAGGACAGTGTGCACACCCACACAAACAGGATTTGTTGCAGAAGCAGTAACTGTGAAATAAATTAGCAGATTCCCACATGGTCACAAGATGAGTGTTTGTTTTTTGTTTTTTTTTTCTGCAGGAGTTGATTTGAGAATGTACAGTAGAAGAAGCAGCAGAGTAAAGTGAGAAAATAAATTGTAAATGTTGGTTAAACTGAACTGTATTTACTGTGCCTCCTTTTGCCTGGCATTCTCTTAATACTAAAGGAAAAATTAACTTGATATTGAATTGTAAAATGATTTCTTGAGAGTATCCAGGGATCTTATTAACCAGAAAACCCGCGTTCAGCAAACAGATAGAACCTGTAACAAGGAGTAGTTGTTGGACGTATAAATGCCTACATTATGCTGGGAAGGATTCAATATAGCTTATATAGTCATTTATCAGTATTAGAATTCACTTTGTTGGCTGGAGTGACTTCAGGACTGTTGATAGGATCAAGGTTTCCAGAAAGTATTTGATAGTTTCTCATCAAAAAGAATACTGGAAAAAAAACTAACTTACTCTGAGATAAAATGAAAGTTTTTTAATGTTAGGTATATTAAAAAAAAAATACAAGAACAAAACAGGATAGGAATGGGTGTTACATTTCTTTTTGATTGAAAGAATATTGTAGGATTTTGCACTGGGATCTGAGCATTCTAGAGAAGTGGGTTAAAAATGAGTAATGATGAATTCTCTTGAGGATGCCAAGCCAGTCAGAGTAATACAAGATGGTGCTGTGATGAGTAATTAATTTTAGGGAGACATCCTCTCAGCAATCTACAGCAGACCAAAAAGGCTTACACACACACACACACACACACACACACACACACACAAACACACACACACACACACGCACACACATATAATGTATAAAAAAATAAAAATAATTAGATGTGTAGAACATTATATATATAAATTCACATTATGTCCGTGTATTTAAGACTTTTTCTTGAGCATGTGTTAGAGCTTACATGGATAAAAAGAGGAATGGCAAAGGTTATTTAAGAACTGCTTTGTCCTAAGTAGCAAGTAGTAATCAAGGACTCTTCAGCTTACAAAATAATATGACTAAAGAGAATACAAATGTAACTTGTAAAACATTGTTAGGCTGAGGGAAGATGAATAGAGAACTGTTATTTACTATTTCTTCCTTGACAAGAACAGTAGGGCATCAAATGAAGATAGCAGAAGTCAATCTCGGAGCAAGAAGAAATTATCTTCTGAAGACTTAATTAAGCTTTGCAAAGCTGTGCTGTTAGATGTTTGGAATGCTGAGTGGTTTTCATAGATCTGAAAAAGTAAATGGGTAAAGTGAAGGAGAAAAGATATTAGAGGACTTTTAAGTACAAATGTACCACTGATTGAGAATGTTCCCAAGCATCAAATCATAAAAGGCAAGAAGCTTTAGATGACACAAGAATGAGAAAAGGGAGATAAAATGAGGGGTTATGATTAGAGAAAACTTAATAATTTTTAATAAATTCTTGAAGGTTTTTTCCAAATTAAATGGTTCTGTGATTCTGTCTGATAGACCTCTAGTGTTACAAGTATGGTTGGACTTCATTATCTTGTAGGTCTTTTCCTACCTAAGTTATTCTAAAATAGTGGAGCGGGACTGGAAGGCTGAGTATGCTGTATGAGAGAGCATAGAGACGGAGAGGTGGGAGCAAATCTGATAGCAGCAAGAATGGGAAGTTGGCACCTATGCAGAATGGCACCAGCATCATTTAGAAAAGGAGTGACCTGAGAGGCACTACAGAACAGTGAAGGAATAGAGTAAAAAAAAAAAACAAAAACAAAAAAACATTTATTTTATGTGTATATCCATCTTTAAGTTACAAAGCCTGTTGATTCTGATCTAATAATACCATGTAGGTTTGTTGATTGAATTTTTTAAGGTACAGTAACAATATTTGAGGTATTGGCTGTCTAGTCTGTTTAAAGAAAGTAACATGATTAATGTTACAGAATTAGAGCTGTGTTGAGATTTAACTTTTGAAGTACAGTGAAAGTTTCTGAAATATGTGTTTTTTCATGTATGGTAAAATTGGGATCATCAGGTAGCTTAGTAAAGCTGCAGAGTACATGCTGTAATGTAATTCCTGGTCTAGTCATAGTCCTTTCGTATATCAGTACTGTATGTAGCATTTTTATTTTACTTTTTCTGTTTTCCTGTTTTTTACTTTTTTTTTTTTTTTTTCCTTTTGTCAGGGCACTGTCAGTTTAATATAGTGAGGATCAACAGAAACATAAAAATCTTCCAGGTATCTATGTAAAAGTGAATAAAAATGAATCCCTGTGAACAGCAGAGCTGCGTGTTCTTTAAGAAAATTCCCCAGTGAATGAAATGATTATTATAAGCTTTCCAAAGAGTTTATTACAGAAAGGCTCAGGAAAGGCCACTGAGTATGAGGTAAGTGGCTGTTTTACATTAGGCTGAGACACAGAATTAGTCTGACAGAAACACTGCTTTCAAAGACATGCAAAAGTTGAGCTCAAAGTCAAAGCTAATGAAAGGAGCAGGAGAGGAAACATTTTGCTTATGAAGTTGTATTTTTCGCCAAATCACTGGTTAACCCTTAGTATGATTATTTCTGGTGTTTAATTAATTCTGACATGGAAAGTACCTTGCAATGACATATTTTGTATAAAAGAGTGGAATGTTTTATATAAGAAACAGTTTGAGAAACAATGTTAAATCATGTGAATGTCTTTCCGGCATTAACTAGTAGAAGACAAAGGTTTTGTGCAACACGGTCTTGCTGGATTTATTTGTCCCTTGTAGATTTGTAAGAGGATTATCTTCCATTTGAAAGATTATTCCTTCGATTATCAGTATATATTATTTCATTTCCTAACTAATATTCTATGCAGAATGCATTGAACATGGCTCTCAAGTAGTTATTTATTTGTCCCACTGCAGTTGGAGATGGTTCAGAATGAAAATCTTGTATTAAGTGCTGGACATGTATTAAAGGCCAAGTGTGAAATCACTGATACCACAAGCTTTACCTGTGGGTTGTTCTTTTAGTGCAGCCTCAACATTAAGAACTGTATTCTTACAAAAACTCAAGTAAGAGTGGAGCTTCAAAGTTTGAATGAGTCAGAGTCTTATGTCTTAGTTGCCATTCATAAAGACTGCGATCATATTTTTGGGCCGACATCATCAAGTTACCCAGTGGTTGTTTACCTGCGTAAATGATATCAGTTACTCTAGGACTATTTGACCCCGTTAGAATTATAAAGAGCTTTGGTCTTTGAGTGGTTTTTCTTACATTGCATTTACAAATGCATTCTCATTCAACATAGAATTCTGTTTTTCTATAGATAAAACCTTTTCTGTTTGTAATATTTATTCATATTCTTTGTATTTTCTGTGTAAATGAGAAGGCAATTATTTACTCCTCATTGTATTTCGAAGTTTTTCACTGGGCTTTCAATGTTACTCCTGCTATCATTTGTTTCTAGCAATCTTTTTATTTGTAGCTTTATGAAATGCTCAAACTGCATTATCTGCATCAATTTTATCTGTCTGGCATAGTCTGTCTGTCTAGAAATACTTATCAGTAGTGAAAGAACATTGCTTGTCTAAGAGCAGTAATCAGTGATAAAAGGATTCTGCTGAAAAGAGAGACAAAGGGGTACTCTACACAGTGTTGTAGGGATATTCCAAAGTAGGTTTTGTATTTGTGATTCTCAGGGTCTGATGCAATTTCTATTGAAATTAATTTCCAAGAGTGATTTCAGATGGGTAGTATCTGGATTCAGGGTTAGTCAGGAAAGAGCAGACATGACTTGCATTTTAGATAAGAATCTTACAATTTATTAGAGCCTTATTTGCCATTTCTAGTACACACTGGACTGCCCTGTAAGAGTTGTCTTGCATCTAGGATGTTTAAGAATTTAAGTTTTATTTTACCTTAAGCAATTAATCATGGTGAACTGTCACTGGGTAGAGGCAACAGTATGTTTTGGGTCCTCTCACCTGTTTGAAGAATCCATAGCATCTGTGCACTGTTGCTGAGAATTGATTAATCTAGTATTTTATTGCTTTGGATCAGTGACAGGGAATGATGATACGCATGTTCATATGCTGTCAATCCTCATTTGATGAATACTGACATAACATAAAAACTGCTGATACATAATACAAGAGAGTACTTTATAGGCCTCTCAATTGATAGTTTCTTAATTTTTTCAGTAAATAATTCTGCAGGATATTCTTCCCTTCCCCAGCCCCACTGATTTCAAACGCACTTGAGTTGTCACGAGAAATCTTTGTTAAATCAGCAAAATCGAAATATTGGGAGGAAAGGTTATTTCACAACACACTTCAGATATATGTCAGGTAACCAAAATATCTGAATTTAACCCTTTACATGTGTTGTGAATGACAGCCTTGGCAATCTTTGTTACTAGTGAGATAGAGTAACGAAATAATGCACTTCAAGACTCATTAGGACGAATGGAAACCAGGTGAATGATACAAAATTACTGTACTGAAACAGGAAAGTGCTGCTCAAAGCCCTTCTACAAGACAAGCTACTTTAAATTGAGGGGGCCACAATGACAGCCGGGTGTAACACTTCAGGTAGATTTTGCAATATACTCTTCAGTGTTTTTCCTTTTTTTTTTTTTCTTTTTTCTTTTTTTTTTTTTTTCCGGTCATCTCTGACAAATCTTTATACATTCTTTTTCCTTCAGTTGTAAGGCTGACACTGAAATGTTTTCCTTTACATCAAATGACAGATCTCTTCAACTGCTTCTGGAATGTAGAGAGTTCTGTTTTCATTTTTTTCTTTTTCATACACAAAGGATATATATAAACATAGACATCAAAGAAGTTTATGTGTAACAAAGTTCTGATGTCAAGGGACAGTTTCATAAAGACTTTTGTGAATGCATTTGTACTAAAGATAAGTTATTAAATGTATCCGGCCTCACACATTTCAAACATTGCACTAATGTAAATATAGATTTAA